AATTTTAAATTATTAGAAGAACATATATTTTAAATTGAATAAATTAAGAATATGATTAAAAGCTACATCCCAGCATTGTGATAATGTCACAATAAATAAATGTTCATTACAATGTTTTCATCCAAAGCCTAATAAATTTATTATTACATGTTAGGAAAATTTGGAAATTACAATTTGTTTAAAATATTACATAGTTAGATCTTTCCAGCATTGCACAAGTGTATGCATGTAGTAAATTAGTTTCAGTGGTATATATAGTAAAGTAAATTTAAAAAAGGGATGTATGTAAATTGTGCAGAAGTTCTGTAGTAATACATATCTTTACACTCAGGAGAGATGGAAAATTTAACTGAAGGGAATCATTTTATGATGATTTAACATAATGTACAAAGTACCTCTAACTATAAAGGATAAATAAAAATCAACATAGCTTTTTTTGGTAGGAACAATGATTTGTGGATTATGGAAAATGTATAAATGAACTTCTGTTTTTTGCAAAAAAAATTTTTGTATTGCCTGAAGAGGCAATATAAAAATTATTAAAAAGATTAAGAAACACCCAAAATGCATAGTGATAAAAAATACTACCATCAAAATATCTTAGTATTGGTTTTCTCTCTGATTAAATGCAGTTATGGATGAAAAACAACGGTTGATTAATTTTTTAACCTTAAAGTTTTAATATTTTTTAAAATAGCTTTCTTTTGCTAAATTTATGCATTTTTTATATTTAGTACATGTTCAAAATAACTGCCTACAGCAACAATAAAAACATAAAGCTAATTAAAAATTGTATTATTGATATCATGATGACTGGCATCACTATCCTATAAGCCACTCAAATTTACTTTTCCAGCTTGCGAATATCACCAGTGCTGCTTTTTGGAAAAATCCAATGGTCATGGTGGCCATGGAACAGGACTGTATTTTCTCATCCATTGATTGTTGAATGATGCTGACACATTATCTCTCTGGTACTACACCTGCTATAGTTGCTTCATTTGTCCACTGTAGTGTGTAGGATGTGCTGTCAGTATGGTATAATGACGATGAATAGATGCCATATCAGATGTTTAGTGTAAAATATACCTGGTGTTTCATATTTTGTTATACTGTTGTAAATTTAATATCATGTTGTGCCAGTTGAAGATAAAAAATATTTGCAGATAACTGTTGAATGCCTATTAACAGTAATCTGCAACATGTCTTAGAAACAAAATTCAATGTATTTGTGGCTGCTGCAGTCCACACTGGCTTGCTTCTTTATGTATGTGGGTATGCAGGGAATTATGCCAAAACTTCAATGTCAAGAAGACAAGGACAACTAGGACTATGAATTCTGACTGTGCTACCAATTTCCATCAAGCAGCATATATCCAGAATTGTCATAGGTTTCAAGAATGCTTTCCAGTTGAACCAAGACCTATACCTATGTGATGCTTCTCATGAATTTCATCTCATTTCTCCATAAAGTATAATCATTTCACAGTAGTTATTACCACAGATGTCAATGTGTTCTACCAAATAGCAGAATACATGATATTAGCTCTTTAATAGAATGTAAAAAAAATGTGTGTTGCTACATGATTAGTCAGGATCAACTTTTAATTTCCATATTGTGCTTATTTTGGAAAATTTGCATATTGTCATAAACTAATTTGCAATCTATATATATCTCTTTTTAGGATGAATTTATCTATTTAACTGTAAACATCACAATGGAACTAATGCATCATATGTGTATATTCATGCAATGCTAGAAAGATCACTTGGATAAACATTAAAGTGAATACCTAGTATATAAAAAACAAGACATGATTATAGAATATCACATCTATTTGAATTTTGATATCAACAATTTCTCATTTGCATGAAACATTAACATATGATAACTAACCTCTTTACTCAAGTGAAATCTTCGTATTTTTTCAATACAATAAAATACTAATTGCAATAATGGCTTTGTTTCTTCCATGACATCTACAGTTACATGACTATTGCCTGGTACTGTTAAAAATAAAAAAAATTATTAGGAAAATAAAATATAAAATGTATACTAAAAGAAATTAGTACCATTAAATCCAAACAGAAGAACTTTCTTCACTTCTGGCAATTTAGTTGGCTGGGATTCTCTAGTAAATAAATAATAAAATTAACAAAATTGTGTGTACATTATTTTAAATCATTGTTAATAACAGTACACATTAAAACTTCATAATTTCTGTTATAATAAAATACATTTAAATATTCTTTACTCTTTATTAATGAATATTTGATTGTTTAAATTATATAAAATATCTTCTTATGTAATTTAAGATGTTGATCTACATCTGCAGGGTAATCCAGGGGTGCAGAGGATACATATGCATTCCCTAAAATCCTAAATAGAGAAGAGTTTTCCATAGAACAACTAGAAAGCCAAATAGTTCTGCATTTTTTCAGTTACATTAAAGGTCTCTCTATAAAACTCCAACAATCAACTTTAGATATTATGTAAGCATTTGAAATGGTGTCTCACTTGAAATCAGTGTTAGAACAGTCTATGGAAGATACTTCAGAATTTGATCTTATGTACTGTACAGTAAGAGTACAATGATAACAAAATTAGCAAACATTGACTCTAATGGTACCCTGTATGCATGGAAAGTAAATTCATCGAAACAATATTGAAGGAAATAACCCAATAGTATACTCTAAGCAAGCAATTTATAGATTGTTTATAGATTCTCTGATTTATCAATTTAACCTGAGGTTGTAGATAATGGCTAATAATGTGATTAAGGGGTCTACCTGATTCCATCAAATACGAGCTGAGAATTAAGTGAAGAAATAGCAAATAAAATTTTAAATTATTAGACAATTTGCCATATGCTGAATCTTTTAAACATGAGCTGAAACTGCAAGAAAGGGTTTGGCTTGACTTTTATGATAAGACTGACAGTATAAAATCAACATTATCTAATAGCAGAAGTTGTTCTAAAATATTCCCAAATAGTACTAAAGTTCTTAATCTTTTATTAATACCAGTAATTTCATTTGGTGTTGAAAGAGCAAATTTGTTATTGGGACATGTAAAAGATGATTTACGAAGCAGCAAGAATGAAGAGAGATTTAATGCACTTAAGTTATTTTGTTGATGACACATAAAAGACATTGACATAAACTTAAGTGAGAAAACATCCAAGATGGATGTTACTTTTAAATTCATTTGAAAATAAAGAATTGTATTGCATACTGATGTAAAATATTGGAAATAAAAACATTTTCTTTTTCCAGATTAAAATCATATTTTTATGAACACATTCTTGATACTAAAAATAATCAATATTCACATGAAGTACACCACCTAAATGAAATTATTGGATCCACACCTCATCTGGGAATTAAAAGTAACAGTTAAATGTCACAAAAATTACTACAAAAAAAGTAATAGAAATAGTGTTTTTTTTCTACCTTTATAATATTGATCAATTGCACAATGAAATAGTTAAAGTTTTTGTATGTTTATTTATAAATCATTCACTTAAATTATCATTTTTATATTAATTTAGTTAATCAGTATCATAATCATTGTTTTAATTTAATAGTCTTGGACAGGGGTGGCCAACAGTTTTTGCCCCGGGCCGAATTGGAAAGAAAACTTTTTCCACAGACCAAAGCAGAGGCTGCCCTAGGAAGATTTTGAGGTGGTGTGAGATCTCATTGTGGTGTCACCCCGTAGAGACTGAATCGTAGATAGAGATTACAGATACATTTTTCACATTATCATGCTTTATCAACATTCTATGCTGTACTTAGGAGATTTGTAATGGAGCATTAACTCTAAATGCACAGTGAGTTGTTGACCTTTTTTTTTAGGCGTCAGAATTTTTCATCGAGCTATTCGGACTTCACTAGCTAATGTTGAAAGATTGATTGTGGGCCACGTAGATTCATTAGACGGGCCATATGTTGGCCATGCCTGGTCTTGGAAGTTTATGTTTAGGAAATAATTTGAAATCAATGTTACATAATAAAACCAAAAATTATTACTGAATGTAATGCAAGAAAGTACACTAACTTTTGGAATGAATGTATAAAATCAATCATTTATTTTGATAGATTTAATAATTCACTGAATCAGTGTGTCTTTATAACAAAAGTATTGCAAATATTGAAAATAAATTAATATTTATATTTAATTCAAGAATTCAGTATATTGTAATATTGATCTCTTGTAGCACTGTATTAATGGATCTTTATTATTTCATTTATTTTATGTTAATGTATTGATAAAAAAAAACTCAAAAATTGCAGTAAACTAGCAAATGTATTATTTGAATATAGAATAAGAAAAACATAATTTACTTGATGTCTGAAGTTTACAGTATTTAGAATGGATTTTCTTGATCTAAGATATAAATAAATAGTCTTCTTTCTATCTAAAACATTAATATGAATATTAATCTTAACATTTAAATTTTTTGTCTCTATTATAGGGATTTTAGATAATCAGAGCTTCCAAGTTCATTTTCATACTGTTTACTATATTTTTAATTTTTATTTTGAGAAAAATGAAATATAGTCTATTTACATACAATTGTAGAAATTAGATCCAATCCTATTCTAACTATTAATGCTATACTATCATCATTGTGCTTGCATTCCATCCAATATTGACGATCTAGAATGATAACCCACTATCTCATATTCCCACAAGTCTCTCTCACTCAAAAGTTTAAGATATTTGTCTTTCATCCTCTTCACTGAAGTATGAGTCTGAAACAGGAATAGGAGTGCAACACAAATAGTCCCTAAGGATACTGCTACATTACCAGAACTGCCAATAATCACTTAATGAAGTTCTGGGAACTGGCTCTTAGTCAGCTACATCTATTGTGAAAAAGTTTACAGGAATCTAACTTGTACATATCTGCATTTGTAATCATTTTTACATTCTAATATGACCTATCCATCCTGAAAGTTTCAATTCCAATATGATGCATTTTTCCAAGGCTACAAATTTAATGAACAGCAGTGTATAAACAAGGTATGTCATACATTTTTTTTAAACAAAAAGTATGTGTCAGTCCAATGGCTAACAGGTTTAGAAATATTTTAATAAAAACATTTCTTGATTACTTTCATTCAGCATGTTGAGAATTTAGTGAATAACTGAAATAATTGGTGCAACTTAATAATTCTATTTTGAATGGTTAATAAGTTAGTGATTACTTTATTCAAAACTTAAATTACAGATATTGAAATTAGCAATACTGATTTGAATGACATACGTAACATATTTCCATTTCTGAATTTGCAAGAACTCTAAAATTTATTTGATCCAAAAGAACTTTCAAAACATCTCTTTTAACTCTTTAAACACAAAACTGTCCAAAATTGACTTAATCTGGTCAAGACAAATTTGGCTGAAGGAAAACTTGTTTGACAAATTTCCTTGAAGACTGAGTGGAAAAAATAATTTTATCTCCAGTACACAAAAACAAATTTTCAGAACTTAGAGTTAACAAATGTTTAGTAAAGTAATTCAATAATAGATTTGATGCAGAGATATTTTCAAATTTATAAGTCAATAACAATATTAAACAAAACTTTTTACTTACTCTTGTTGTTTTGGACCAGAGTATTGATCTGAGAAATGAATATATTCAATATAATCTTCATATTTTGTTAAGACTGATAATAACTGTATAAAAAAATTATTAAAAATGTCAAATCAAACTAATTAAAATTATTGTAATTTATCACAAAAATTAATTAAAGTATTTAAATAATTTCAAAAGATTTTGTTCTACAGTAATCTTGTATGCTATTTGTTTAAAATTTTTAATATGACTAATTTTTATGGCAGATATTTAAGAATATTCAAATTTATTATTAAGTGAAAGTAAAAATGTTTCAATGCTGATACAGCTATTGACAACTTACATTGGTATACTTAAATTGTTTTATCTATTTATTTTTGATTAAGTATTAGATAATACACTAAAGGAAATACAATTTATAATTTGCAAATAAGCTTAATACAATGTATCAGAAAAGTTAAATAACCTGTAATCCCTCTTTTTTAAATATATAAAACAGCTTTTCTTAACTAATATATTCTAAACTAAATTCCCATTTTGTATTTACAAAAAGGAAATTTGCTCAAATATATATAAAACAATGATTTTATCAATTTTTCCAATGAAAACAAATTTAACAATATCCAAAGAATATACAAATATTCTCTTTATTAATATTTTATTAACATATTTTTATAATTGAATAATTTAATTAATAAATAATAACAAATACAAACAGTAGAAAAAAGTAATACTGAAAAATAAAAATACAGTAAAACCTGTCTAATGAAACCTGAATAAAACAGAAATCTGCCTAAACAAACAAAAAAAAAAAAAAACTGAAAAAGAACAATTTTCTATGTTAAATTTTACTTTAAGCTAGAAGCCTGTTCAACATAGAAACAGATGAGTGTTTTAGTTATGAAGAATTTAACTTAACCTGAATAAAGTAGAAAAATAAATTTACACTTGCTGTGGACAAAAGTATAATTGCCTCCAGATATAATGGTCATTCATTCACTGCAAAGGATGACAAACTATATTAAAAAAAATGAGTCTGAACCTTTTCAGAAAAATGAGCCATGTGATAAGAGGATAAAAGATAAAAGCACAAGGTCTTTGTTGGAATTAACCACAGACAAGAATCAAATGAGTTTCCTAGAATTAAGTTCTCAAAAACAAGCAATGAATGTAATTTGTTAAAAACAAGGAGAATAAGGGAGTAAATGCTACTTTATTCTTTTTTTTTTTTTTTTTTGTCTTCTACAAAGTTGTTAGTAACTACAGTTAACTCATGTTAAAATGAATCACTAGGAGAACAGTTGTTAGTTCAGGCTGCTTTATTGAGAATTTGTATTAATGATTTTCAAGATCAAGATCCAGGTTGCATAATTTAGGGCAGGGGTGTCCAACCCGCGGCCCGCGGGCCGCATGCGGCCCAAGGCAAGTTCCAATGCGGCCCAATAAACGTGTAAACAAAACCGACAAATGTTTTAATTTTTTTATTATTTATTTATTTCAACGGCATAAACTCAAAAAAGGT